TTTGGGTATTACAATTTGCAATAGGCTGAAAGGGGTATCGTTGATTGGTTACTGCAATTAGAAGTTGGAGCATGGGTTTTGATAATTGTATGTTCGACCATTTCAAGTCGTTGAAATTTTTGTGGATTGTATGTTCGACAAAGAGATTGAAATTAGTATTTTAAAAAAGTCTATTTTTTTTTACAATTTCAAAAAATATGTTTTTTTAAAAATAATTTTAAATTATTTTTCTAAATAAAATTTTATAAAATTAAAACGTGTCATTTAACTGTTGAATTTAATAACTGTTATAATTCAAATTTTAACAATATAATGTACAAACAATAAACATCTAAAATTAGGTATGTAAACGAACCAAATGTTTAACAAACCGTTCGTAGGGAAGTTCATTTATGTTTGTTTATTTATTAAATGAATGAATATGAACAAGTTTCTGTGTTCTTTTAATTAAATTAACGAACATTGTAGAACTAATATTTTGATATAACAAATAAGGGGCAAAATATTTTTGGACTAAATTGAATTTATTCAAAGAAAACATCAAAATAATTCAAAACCCAATCAAAACCTTAAAATGAGTTTTCTGACCAGAAGTTTCGAAATTTCTACAGGAGTTTCGAAACTTTCCAAGACAATTTTCTCAAAAGGTTTTGATACTTTTTTAAGAGTTTTGAAACTATATCAAGAGTTTCAAAACTTTAGGCAAGAGTTTCAAAACTTTTCCTAAAGTTTCGATACTTTAGCTTCAACAGTTATATTTTTTCAATGACTCTTTCGAAGAGTTTTGAAACTTTCCTAGAGTTTTAAAAATTTGTGTGCAGAAAGCCTTGCAACAGCTCCAAACCTTCCCAAACGGCTAGAAACCACTAGTAACTCATTCCAACATATAAAAACAAGTTCAAGGCACTTGAAGAATGTTACACAACACCTATCTAAGCAATAAAACACAAGAGAAAAACTTTTCATTCTTTATTTCTTTTTTTCCTATAAATATTTGTGTTTTTGTGAGCTTTAATTTGTAAACACCTTCATTTTTAGAGGTCTTCTTGTTTACAATTCTTTTCCTTTGTAAAAGGGTTTTGGTTCTAGTTTAGCCATTTGAAAAACTAGAGAGTTGTAAATGTTACTATTGATCCTTGAAAAATAAATAACAAATTAATGGATTTGTTGGAAAAATCCTAAGTGAGGAGCTTAGGTAGTGGATGTAGACTTGGTTGATAAGTCGAACCACAATAAATCATTGTACAAAATTTCCTATCTTTATACTCTTTACTCCCATAACTTTAAATTACCAATTCACTCCCTCTTGGCACATTTTCGGTTGATCAATCGAGCTTCATCGAACCCAAAAATTGGTATCAAAATGATCATAAATCGAAGGTCTAACAACCTTGTGAAGATCCTCGAAGGCTCCTATCAATTTCTTAAAGCAACCGAGAAGATGGGTTTTTTCCTCCGACACTTACTACATCGAATATTCTCAACCGGTTAATAAGTCACCCTATTTCAACGTAGCAAACTATGCTTATTTTAATAATATGATGATGTTTTTCATTCAAGCTACTGATCTAGATGCTTGGAGCTTTATCTTGACGGGTCACTATACTTCAACTAGAGTTATAGAGGAATTGAGTGAAAGAGAGAAGAAAAAGTTCCAACTCAATGCTAAGGCCATGCACATTTTGTTTTGTGCATTAGGCTCGAATGAATATGAAAGAGTCTCGTCTTGTTCAAATGTCAAGAAAATATGGGAGAAGCTCCAAGTCACTCATGAAAGAACTGATGAAGTGAGGGAAACGAAAATCAATCTTCTCAATCATAGCTATAGGACTTTCAAGATGAAATCGGATGAAAACATCAAAGCCATGACAAATATTTTTTTCGTGATTGTCAATAGTCTCAAATGATATGGAGAGATTATCCCTAATAAGAAGCTTGTTAGGAAGATGATTTATTCTCTTCCAAAATCTTGATAATCGAAGAAGACGACAATCATTGAAGCAAAGAACTTAAAAGCTCTATTGCTTGATGAACTTATTGGCTCCCTTCTCACTCATGAGATGGTGAAAAATGAGGAAGAACAACAAGAATATAAGAAACAATAAAAGAAAGAAAAATGTGTTGCATTGAAATCCTCTACTCAAAATGAAAAACACCTCAAGCGAAGAAGAGGATGAATAAGAAGAAATGGACAAGTTCTACAAGAAATTCCAACGATTCATGACATCCAAAGAATACAAGAAGCATGAATCGAGCAAAAAAAAAGGTTTGTCGATATGCTTTGAGTGCCAAATGACAAGACATGTCAGGTATGAATGTCCTCTTCCTAAAGAATAAGGGATCAAGCAAAAAGAATGCATTTGTGGCAGCTTGGAGTGATGAAGAAAACTCCGATGATGATGAAGTAGTCAGTCTATGCCTTATGGTCATCGAAGAAGATTCAATAATAACTTATAACTCTTTTGATTCAAATTCTTATTCATTTAAAAAGTTACAAAATGCCTATGATGAGTTGTATTTGGAATTTGAGACCATGAATTCCAAATATAAAAAATTAATTTCAAAATTTAAAGTTGAAAATGATTTGATTTTGAAAGTAAAAGTTGATTTTGAAAAACAAAGTGAAACTTAAAAAAAAATGATTTAGAGCTTTCAAAAATCAAATTTAATGATTTAGAAAAAGAAAATATTGATTTGAAAGTTAAGCTTGAAAGCTTAACAAAAGAAAAATAATTAATTTTTAAAAACAACTCATTATGTTTAAAAATGACAAAATGCTCACACTGTCATTTTCATGGTCATTTGGAACATACTTGTCCTTTAAAGAAAGGAAGACATTTTAAAATTAAACAAATATGGGTTCCAAAGGGAACAAGGGGCATTGAAGCTAACGTTCAAGGATCCAAAGCAATTTGGATACCAAATATCAAATTAAATGTCTCTTGTAGGTGCTTGGGAGCAATGGTGATGAAAATGAAGATATTCAAATGCTCTAGCCACACTTGATATGGAATGAGTAACCTCTTAGCTTATTTTGATTATATTGCATAATTGGTTGCTCATTTAGTTTAAGCATTCATGGGTTTTGATTTTAAATAATTTTATGTTTTCTATCTCATGTATGTTAAAAAGTGTTGTGATGAACATTTTCTAAAGTTTTAAGGATTTTTTGTTTGTTTATCATAATGAATTTTGGTCAAAATTCGTTTTAATGTTTTATTTTTACAAATTTTAATTTTTGACCTTAATTTAAATGTTTATGCATGTGATTTGTTGCAAATGATATATCTCTAACAATTGATATCAATATTTCAAATGAATAATATTTTTGGATAACTTTGTGCATATGCAATTAAATACAACAATTGACATTTCATAAAGAATATTAGACTTGGATATATTGAATTTCTTGTGCTACAAACTTGTTTGTTCATCTTTGTTGAAATTCAATGTCTTTTAAGTGTCAATCTTTTAAAATCAATTTTTTGTTTGAAATGCATTTTTGAGGGGGAGCTTTTGATTTTTCAAATGATTTTAATGTTAAAATTATTACTTATTCTCCATTATTATTTTGTACCTTAAAAGTTTGAATTATTTTTTATATAACAAAAAAGTGGAGAAGTTTAAGTTTGAAAAATTTAATTTCAAGAATAAAAAAGGGGAGCTTTAATTTTTTCTAAAATATTTTTCTTTTTCATTAAATGTTTTATTAAGGTGGAGTTTTTGCCAAAAATTTATTTTTCAAAGGTTTTGTTATGTCAAAAAGGGGGAGATTGTAGAACTCATATTTTGATATAACAAATAAGTGCAAAATGTTTTTGGACTAAATTGAATTTATTCAAAGTTTTCATCAAAATATTTTAAAGTCCAATCAAAACCTTAAAATGAGTTTTCTGACAAGAAGTTTCGAAACTTTCCAAGACAGTTTCCCAAAAAGTTTCGATACTGTTCAAGATTTTCAAAACTATCTTAAGAGTTTCAAAACTTTCCCTAAAGTTTCGATACTTTGGCTCCAATGATCATATTTTCCCAACGACTATTTCGAAGAGTTTCGAAACTTTGTGTACAGAAAGTCTTCCAACGGCTAGAAATGGCTAGTAACTCATTACAACAAATAAAAACAAGTTCAAGACACTTGAAGAAGGCTACACAACACCTATCCAAGCAATCAAACACAAAAGAAAATTTTTTCATTATTCATTTCTCTTTCTCTTGTAAATATTTGTGTTTTTGTGAGCTTTAACTTGTAAAAATATTCTTTTTTAGAGGTTTTATTGTTTACAATATTTTCCTTTGTAAACGGCTTTTAGTTCTAGTTTAGCAATTTGAAAAACTAGGGAGTTGTAAATGTTAATATTGATCCTTAAAAAAGAAAGAATAAATTAGTGGATTTGTTGAAAATCCTAAAGTGATGAGCTTAGGTAGTGGATGCAGACTTGATTAATAAGTCGAACCACCATAAATCATTGTGCAAATTTTCATATCTTTATACTTTTTACTCCCTAAACTTTAAATTGCAATTCACTCTCTCTTGACACATTTTCGGTTAATCAATCGAGCTTGATCGAACCCAACAAACATGAACAGAAGGCTCGTTCGTTCATTTACGTTCGTGAACTTTCGATGATATGTTCATTCATTTATATTTAGTCTAATCTATCTATACCCATTTAATATATTAAGACCCAATAAATTTTAATATAATATCCATTAATATTTTAAAATGTAGTTAATTTTAAATAAAAAAAACTTAAAACAATTAAATACAAATTAATTATGAAGTTGTAACTTATACTAATGAATTTTATGTGATTATTGTTGTTGTTTATGTTGATTTATGTTTATTTATTTTGTTCATTTACATACATTTATTATATTCGTCTTCATTAATTAATTTATGTTATGTTTATTTATTATTTAAATGAACATTAACTGAAAAAAAAATTTCGTTGTTACAAATAAATAAAAGAGGCTATATTTCGTTGGTTTTTTCTTTCCCTCAGAATATCAAATTTCGGATTCACATCTCTCTCCCTCCGACGCGTATTGATTTAGGGTTTCAGGTTTCTGCTTTGAATCGCGATAAAAGCATGGCGGGTGCTGGAATCCACCCTTATCACAATCAGTGGCCGCCGGCACCAGTTCCTCCTCCCGCTACAGCCACATCAGCTGCCGCTCCTCTTCCGCCGCCTCCTGTCCACCATCCTCCATTTTCTACTCACGATGAGGTTAATATCACTTGATTTTCTCTACCTCCTTTGCTTTTTCTTTTTTCAAGCTTTAATTTTGAGCCTCGATTGTAAGATTTGATGGCAATCGAACCCTAATTATCTCTCCCTCGCTTTCATTAAATTTTCTTTATGAAACTGCCAATACAATAGTTTCTTTTCGCTTTGTTTAGTTTTGTAGATTCCCTTGTTTATCTATCTAATTCGTGGTTTTCCTTTTGTACTTGCTTTTTTTCTTACTCAAAATCTAAAATGGTATTTTATAATATAAAATTTAAAAGTAAATTCCTTGACTAGCTACATGTATCATTCCATGATTTTGTCAGTTTTATTGGATGTGCATTACAACAGTTTAATTATTTGGTCTTGTTTTGGTGATTTCTATGAGAGTTACTTGAAACAAGTTTCAATTTGGTTGGTTCCATGATCAAATGTTAAAGGGGTCAAAATAGTTTTATATCAAAAGAGCAATAATCTATTAAGTATTTAAATCTAAAAATTTGGGGGGGGGGGACAAAGGCCTTATTTAACTAATATTTAAACTAAAAAGGACCTAAAAAGCTTTATACCATAAAGTTTGGGTACAACGGCCCCTCCCATGCACCATGTAGATCCGTCCTGAGTATGTTGCAATTATTTTTCTTTTTCATATAGTCATTATTGTGTATTTAAAATAAACTTTAAAATTTAGATAAATTATCAACTAATTTTTAAACTGACTTTTAGTACAGTAATCTTCCATATAATATTTTAGAAATTATAATCAATTTGGCTAGATTCCTTGATTTTACAAACATACCATTTCACTGCCACTTTTCATATCTATCAATCTAGTTTTCAATTTGAATGGTTTAAGCAACCAGATGATTTGCAATGCATTATTTGTGGTGCATGCATCTACTAGTTTATTTTTATTTAATCCTATATTCTAAAATTAATAGAGATAGTTGTTTTGTATCTAGGTTCGAACCATCTTCATTACTGGTCTTCCTGAAGATGTCAAAGAGAGGGAGTTGCAAAATTTAATGAGGTGGTTTCCAGGTTTTGAAGCTTCGCAAGTGAACTATAAGGGTGAAAAGCTGATGGGTTTTGCTCTCTTTTCAACTGCACAACTTGCAGTTGCTGCCAAGGATGCTCTTCAGGTACCATAAATTTATATAATTGGTGGTTTTATTTAGTGATATAAGATATGTCCTCCTTTTCAAAGCACTGATTTTGTTTGATTCTGGTGGGTATTAGGATATGATTTTTGATGCCGAGTCAAAGTCTGTATTGCACATAGAGATGGCCAAGAAGAATCTATTTGTTAAAAGAGGTTAGTCATCTCTGTAACATCTTGTTTCATGCCAATGGAAAAAGATTTACGTATTTATCTTTTTTTAAATAAAAAATAATTTTATTGCATGAGAATAAAAAACGTATTGCTAGAGCCTCATTAAAAAACCTCCCTAAGCCTAAGTGCAGGAAAAAGAGTACGCCCAGGCAATGACTACAACTGCATCCAACACCCAAGAAGAAAACCTAAGAAACATCAAGAAACAACCAGCAGAAAAATAGACAGAAAAGCAAGAAACCATATACATCAACCGAACAACACCACATACAAACCACACCAACACCCAAAATACATTTCAACCAGGCACAGACCCTGCAACCAATTTAGCAAGATGGTCAGCCTCCACATTCGGACACCTAGAAACATGACGCACAGTGAAGTTTTCTCTAATAGATACTTCAGCGATTGGACGAAGAATAGACACCTGTTCCGTAGGAATTGAATTAGGATCCCTCAACCAATTCACCACCACTTCACAATCGCACTCTAAAATAAGATCCATAGACCTATTCCAGATAGAATCCACAAACAAAATTACCGCATATTCCAAAGCCAATATCTCAGCCAGTAGCGGGGACTCCCCACCAATTGGGACCGAAAAGGATAACAAGGTGGCACCATTTGAATATCTAAGGATCCCCCCAGTACCTCCATAGCTACCATCAAACCGCATCGAACCATCTACATTAAACTTAGCACAACCATTCGGAGGAGGAATAGGTTTTTTTTTTATGGAGATGAGCATCCTTTAATTAGAAGGTCCGCAACCAGGTTTTCCAATCTGAAGGGGGCCGAAGGAAATTTAGCCGACAACCAATAAGCGATTCTATACTTTACTAAAGAAACCAATTGCAAGCAGTCAAACTTCTTTCCATGAAAAACCACATCATTCTTGAGTAGCCAAGTAGACCAGATAATAGCAAAAGGCAACACACCCCATATTATTCTATATGGTAGATTCGGAGGAAGCAACTCATACTACGCCTGCAGAAAGTTAATAGGCTCAAAAGAAAAGTCGCAGAGATACCCCATGAGTTTAAAAACGATCCCCAAACTCTCCAAACAGCCTTACAAGGAAAAAACAAATGTTTGACCAATTCAGGTGAAATCGAACAAAGTGGGCAGCTTACTTCCAGTATCCTAACACCTCTCTTTTTAAGTTCCACTCTCACCGAAACACTACGACGAATGACCCTTTATAAAAACGCTTCTACTCTAAAAGGGGCAATTTCCATCTAGACATTTTCTTGCAGTTGAAAGCAGGCCGCTCCCTATCGAAATATAGATTCGACATTGACTTCACCGAATAAACTCTGTTGGATGAGCCCAACCATTTAACCTAATCTGAATAAGTCAAACTCGCAAAATTTTCAGGAGACCACATCAAACCATTCCATTGCACTCTTTCCCAATCAAAAACCTCCTTTCGAAGCCGAATATTCTAGCTTCACCCAGCTTCAATTTTAACCCAAAAATCAGAAATTAGACCATCTTTGTTAATCGCAAGGGCAAATATTCTCGAAAATGACTTTTGAAGGGGTTAATTCCCTAACCATTTGTCTTGCCAAAACCTTGTGCCTTTCCCATCACCCACTTGAAGTTGAAAAAAATCGCGTAAGCCGTTAACTCCACCCTCTGAAAAGTTTGAAATAATTCCCCTCCACAACTAAGAAGCTCCTCGGGAAATGAACTGAGGAGGGAGCAAGGCCGATCGATCAAGGTTGTACTTTGTGGTGGTAACAATTTTCCAGGGAATCAAATTTTGATTGCAAAATCTCCACTACCACTTTCCAAGAAAATCAAAAATTTTCTGTCTAAGATCAATGAAGCCCAAATCACCAATGTCCATTGGTTTACAAACATCAGCTCAATTGACAAACATTGTTTTACTCGTCAAAATAAAATAAAAACCCTTCTCAAATAAAAGAAATAAACATAAATATAGTATAGTGAAAGAGGGTCGATCCACAGGGATTTAGAAATTCCTGATGCGATTTAGTTTCGATTTCAGTCCAGGCAACTGTAAGAAAAATAAATTAGAAAAAGGGGAGTTTCGCAATTGAGAGTTGAAAGATAAAAGAAAATAACAAAAATAAAAATCAAAGGAAAAGAAATGAAAACGTAAATAAAGTTGAAAACAATAATGATAAAATCGCCTCAAGCTAGCTTTGTTTCAATTTCGTTTGATCATCGAAATGAATTTTTTCATGTCGGTTACATTCTACAAGCCCCAACCTATTGTAACTTGCCCTTCTGTCATGTAATCGATCTTCCCAAGTCTAACTTCAAAAGATGATTCTTGAGTGGATTAACCACAACTATTGCCGTTAAAACAATCAGAATTAAGTACTGGAAAGGCCCAACTCGAATTATGTTGTCTCAACGAGAATTAAGTATGTTCACAGTAAATCGAATTGCCATAGGTAGATCCTTCTTCCCAACTATATATTTAAACAACATCCAGACCAACGAGCTCTTTTTGATTTGAAAGTTATTAAAATTTGTAAGTAAGACCGATTGTCAAACTAATAAATCGGAAATACGAGAATGTATCCCGAAGGGAATTAAGTGTTGTTTAATTCTCACGCGTGGAATTGATTCATTGCTAGCTCTCGACTATAATGAAAAAAAAACTTCTAATAAAATGAAAATAAAAACAAATCTAATTCAAGTTTTTTTCAAGCTTTACCTTAAGGGGATATTTATAGCTTCTAAATCCCTAAAGATAACATGGAAATTCAAAATGAAAATCCTAAACCTTAAATCCCAAGTGTTTTTAAATTTAAATTCCTAAAGATTTCATCCATCTTCTTCCAGATAATGCTGACTGGACTGCTTATAGAAATTGTTGTTGTTGACTAGATCTTCTGGAAGTTGCCACGTCAAATCGCGTCGTGCCCAGTGTTGTGCCCTTGCCTCCGACCATGATAAGAAAACAACAAAAAGTAAACAAGTTCTCTGCATAGAAAATAAGCCAAATGCAACCAAATCAATAGTGAAAAGCTCGTAAAGCAAGAGAATTGACAAGCAAAAAGAGTCAATTGCAAGTTTAATTCGAGACCTGAAGCCAACTCAAACACAATGAGAACTCTTTTCGCATTCTTTAACCGAGTCTCTGAAGCACTAATGAACATAATTAAATCATCGACATATTGAAGATGGGATACAACAACATCCGAAGAACCCTTTCCCATCACACAACTCGACAATAGGCTAACCTGAACAACTTTTTGAAGCATCGGATTTAGCGCTTCACCTACCAGATTAAATAACAAAGACGACAAGGGACAACCATGCCGAAGGCCATGGGCTAACTTAAACCTCTCCGAAGGGGATCCATTCACCAATACAAAAATAGACGCTGAGGCAGTACAAGCCAAGATCCACTTGCACCATTGCAAACCAAACCATCTCCTTCAAGACCCTTAGGAGGAAACCCCAATCCACCGTATCATAAGCCTTCCTGAAGTCGGTCTTAAAAACGATTCCCGAACGCCCAATCTTCTTTCCTCAATCGATAATCTCATTAGCAATCAAAGCGCAATCCAAGATTTGCCTTCCTGGAATGAAAGCAAACTGAGAAGTGCCCACCAAATCACCCAACACTAGGGTTTCAAATAGTGCCCCGCTACCGTGATAGCGCCCGCGATTTCGCGGCAGTGTTGCCTTACGCTACACCCGCAATAGCATTCAGTAGCGCTCGCTACGGCCGCAATAGCGCCCGCTATGGCCGCAATCGCGGTAAAAACGTAATGATTGAAAACGCGACCGCGACAGCGATTTGAAACCCTGCCCAACATTGATCTGAGACGACTAGCTAGCACCTTACTCTACAACTTATAAACCCTTCTGACTAAACTAATGGGTCTGAATTCCTCCAAAGACCGAGGATTTAATTTCTTCGGAATCAAAGTGATAAACGAATGGTTTAAACACGAATCAAACTCCCCAAAGTTATAAAACTCATTAAAAAACTAAGGATTCCCTCCTTTAGGTCCGACCAAAACTTTTAAAAAAAATTAAAGTTGAAGCCATCCGGCCCCGGGGCATGATTATTGTCCGAACTCTCCAATGCTAGGAATCTCTTCCTCAGAAACCTTCTCTCCAACCAGCTACACTGCTCAACATCTAACTTTGAAGAAGGCATAATCATTTCGTCAACCTCCAATGCAGCCTTCTTATTATAAACTTCACGAATATATGAAGCAATCATACTTTTTAGACTAGCCGGATCAGCAATCCTCCTCCCATCCAGAACCAATGAAAATATTGAGTTATTCCGCCTCCTAGCAGAAGCATAGTTGTGGAAAAACTAGTATTTTGATCGCCTTTCGCCACCCACCTCACCCTAGACTTTTGCAGCCACGATCTTTCCTCTTTCCTATACACTTCCCAAAGTCTACATTTCAATCCTCTTAATTCAGAATTAGCGTTATGATCCTCCCAATTGACTTGCAAATCCGATTCTACCTTGCTGATTTTAAATTCTAACTCCTCAATTATAGCCTTAAAATCAAAGGATTGCTTCTTTGACCAGCCTTTCGCAGCCCCTCTTGCAGCAGACAGTACCTTACCGATTCTCTTACTTCCAATAGCAGAAGTTGTGTCTTTAATCGCTCCCTTAATAGCAGAGATAAAACTGCTGTCTTTCAACCAAAAATTGAAGCACCTAAAAGGCTTTCGGCCCCAATTAACCTTAGCTTCTGCCAACACTACAACCTTGTGATCCGACAGTGATTTCGGCATACCTTCTGCATGATCGAGGGGAAAGTAGATAAAAACTCGTTAGAAAGAAATCGATCCAACCTAACGTGCATCGCATTAGCCTTGTTACTAGACCTAGTGAAATTTCCCCCAACCAAAGGCAAATCCACCAAAGCGCATTGATGAACAAAACTCCTAAAAAAACCAAAGATCCTTTGATTTACAGAAGCATCGATTTTCTCTTCTGGATGAATAAAAACATTGAAATCCCCTCATACACCACATAAATGGATTATCTGTAACTAATTTAGCTAATTCACCAAAAAACTCCTCTTTCTTTCTATCCAATGAAGGTCCATACACATTTAAAAATCCACTCCTAGACATCTTCCCTGGAATTGAACCAATAAGAGCAACATATCTTCTATTAACAATTCTAGATATCTTCATAAAAAATTTAGAATCCCAGAGGCAAATAAGACCACTTGCCGAGCCTTCAGCCGAACTAGAAGCCCAACACATATCCCCTGAGCCCCACAACCTCATACAAATTGACATCGAAACCATAACCAATTTTAATTCTTGAACGAAAACCATCTTAGCCTTTAACCTACGAATTATTTTACTCACTGCCTTGACCTTTTCCACCCTACCCAAACCCTTGATATTCCAAGTGACTACAACTAAATCCATTAAGATCTGAAAAGTACCCTCTGACCATGCACCTTCTTTATTATCACAACGCTCGTTTAAGCGCCTCCTCATAGCCCTTACTTTCTTTGACACCGCCTCTTTGCCACCTTTAAATGCAATTTGCATCAAATTGCTCACTTCCCAAATCGCTTCAACCTCCTCACGAATTGCGTCATCCTCCCCAACCCCACGCAAATCCTACCTAGGCCTGTATGCTTCTCTCAGAGATTTTCTTACCAGCCTTCTTACCAATCATAGCTCTTGACCCCGGGGCACCTCTTTGCTTGTACACCAAAACTGACTCCAGAACTACCAATGAAAAATTAAGATTCGAATTTAAAGAAATAAAGCTATCTGGAACGTATTCAACAAAGCCCGAGCATTGCCTTTATTCAATTTCATCCCCAAAACTATTAACATTGCCTTCAGTCCCATTAAAAACAATATCACTTAAGTCCATTTGAGCCCACATCAACCCATCTTCTTTATCCTCATTTAAATCCACTATATCCTTGGAAAAATCAGGCCCATTATTGGAAACACTTCGGTCCCTAGGCCCATCAACCTCGGGTGAACAGACCAACTCAGGAGACAAAACAATTCACTTTCTGTAGTCGAAATCCCCTCTCCATTGATGTCACCCACATTGGAATTTGCACTTCCACCATGCACGATCATGTTACCTTTCACCTTGATGACTGGCCCTGCCGTTGACATTCCTCCTGGAGATCGAAGCGTCACAATTATTAGCATCCTCCAACCAAGCTTGACCCAACAGAGACACAACGCCTCTCGCTGGAGAAGTGATCCCAGGACTGAAACCGTTCCCAGGACCAACAATACCATGATCAGAGAATGCTTCTAGAGCCCAAACATCAGCAAAATTTTTGATCATTTCCTCATAACTAGATTTCAAAATTCCGCATTCATCTTAAGGAACCACCACTTTAATAACAAAATCTCTCCCATTTGACCGGATTCTAATCGATTCTGGAATATCAAACCTGCACGACACCCTAACAACCATTTTTGCCACAGAGAGACCATCCCTTTCTCTCGTGGATTCCTCCAACTCCACAAAAGATCCCCACTTATTCCCCAAGGATGAAAAGAAATTGAGATGCCACAGCTGCAGAGGAACACCTATCCAAACATAGGAGTAAAATGCAGAAACAAACCCAACCTTATCATAAATGGGAGAAATATGCTTGAACCAATAATCCCGACCATCATCTTTCCTTTGCCACACTTCCTTCACATCATTCACTGATTTAAAAGTCAGGATACAAGAGTTCTTTGCATTTCCCCATTTGGCAAGCTTGGCATTAATTCCCTCCTCTTCCAAAGCTCTCTGCACTAAATTGAAATCAAAATTTTCGTGAAGCATTCCTGCTTAAGAACTCTTAATCCAATCCACATTCTCAGGAGGAATCTGAAAATCTAGAACGTTGGAACCCTTAGCCCTATCCTCTATCTATTGATTTTCTGAAAAATATGTTGGGCTTATCATCTCTTTCACTATCGAAACTACATTGGGTGGCTCGCTTCTTACCTCGTTTTCTTTCCCCTGCAGAGCCTCTACATACGAATTGGAATCCTTTTCTTTGGCTATCCACACCTTCCCGAGCTTTGATTGATTCGAAGGCTCACCCTGTTTATCCCTTGAGACCGCCGCTCGATTACCAATGTCATTCACTACCGGATGCCTAGGAAAAATGGCTCTCGAAACCCAGATGACTCTACCATCGATCATGGCATTATTCATCATCCTTATGCCATTATCCATGTCGAACTTGGAAGCAAAATGAACAAAGGCAAAGCTGAAACCCTTGTACTTTGGATTCTTAATGTTCCTTGGAATGAAAGCTTGAACCACTCTCCCATATTGGTTAAAAACTTATCTCAAAGCACCGCACGACACTCTTTTACTAAGATTATCAACAAAGGCCGTCCATTGCCCGCTGGACCGATATCCCCTATCGCCTGAAAAGCTTGATGACCCCCTCTCTCGAAAAACTCTACCTGACGCTCCCCTCCTAGGACCTTTCATATTTTAATATGCCTAGATTTGCGTATTTATCAAGAGACAAAAAGGAAAAAATGTTTTAATCTGGAGATAGTAATGCGAAATACATAATTTTGTTTCAAATGTTTTAAAGTTATTCTTATTTGCTTTTACCTAGAGAAGGATACCAGCCTTTGGCTATCTGCCACTTTATGGTTCGGATTTAGGAATGTGTTGTGTGGGTTGGTTGTGAGCAGGATATAAGTGAGTGAATAAGAGAGAGGCATGGTGATCTGATAAAATTAAAAGTAAATTGTGGCGATAATAAAGAGCTTTCTTTTATTTTGTGATATTTAATCTGCAGGAATTGTAGCAGATTCTAATTCATATGATCAGAGTAAGCGTTTGCGCACTGGTGGTGATTATTCACACAGTGCTTATACAACACCGACTCCATTTCACCCTCCTCCGGTCCCTGTCTGGGGACCTCATGGGTAAGAAGCTATGTGGGATATTGGATACTGCTATACTATAGTTTGCTTAGTCGTGAATAATTTAAGCTATAGTTATAGCATTGCTTCTTAAGTTCAAGGCTTTTTTATTTGTCATAGGTATTTAGCTCCAACTCCTCCATATGATCCGTATGGAGGCTATCCTGTTCCACCAGTCCCAATGCCTACCCCTACTCCTGCACCAGCTCCTAGCAGTTATGTGCCTGTTCAGGTAATTTCTATGCTCGGCATGCCCTTTTTCCCTGCAGCTTAGATTTTGTATAATTTTTTTGGCCATCAATTATTTTCTAAATTATGGCCACTTTTGGCTATTTATTTAATAACAATTGACTTTGAAACAACAAAGCGTGTTGTCGGCTTATTCTATACCTGGATTTACTATGAACATCCACTGAAAAGTTGGCTGTTGGCAGTGGCGGAGCCACAACTTAGTGAGAGTGGGCACGTGCCCACCATGAAATTCGAATTTTTTTCAATTAGTTACTTATTTTACTGATGGGTTCCACCTTGAAATTTTTCATGCCCACCCTGAAATCTGAGTTTTCAGTTTTCTTCGGTTAGTCACTATTTTACGGACAGTGCCCACCCTGAAATTTATTTGTATCCATCCCATTTAAAAATTTTATGTTAATGTATGTGTGTCCACCTTGAAAAATATTTCTAGATCCGCCACTAGATGTTGGACACTGGATATGACCCTTGTGCCCAATAATTTTGCAGATAAATGTCAGTGAATATATCTTAATTTTTCCTTCTGAGTATTCTTAGGATGCAACCTCCATTATGTGTCTTTTTTATGGCAGTAAATCGAAACTATTTTTGTCTGTCAGAATACCAAAGATAACCCTCCTTGCAATACTTTATTTATTGGCAATCTTGGAGAGAACATCAATGAGGAAGAACTACGGGGCCTATTTAGCGCGTGAGAACATCTCATCCCTGGCTAGTTTTATGAACCATTTTATTTCTGATATGAATTTGGGGTTAGTTTCTGATAACAACCTGGTTTATGTTGCACTTATGCTTTATACGCAGTCAACCTGGTTTTAAGCAAATGAAGATCTTGAGACAAGAAAGGCATACCGTTTGCTTTATAGAGTTTGAAGCAAGTTTCTTTCTTCTCTTAACCTACTTGGATGCAATCAGTTATTCATGGGATGCAATTTCTTGGGTTTTATCCTTAAGCCTAAGGTTTGTTTCTCCAACTTGCAGGATTTGAATTCTGCAAGCAATGTGCACCACAGTTTACAGGGTGCTGTGATCCCTAGTTCTGGTTCTGTTGGCATGCGAATACAGTATCCTTTTTGCATTTCATTGGCTTTACTGTTTTAATTTTTTTTCATTTACCTTTGTTTATTTTCTTTGGCACATCAACTGTTGCATATATATATATGTGTGTGTGTGTGTGCGCGCACGCTTCATTCATGTGCATTTCATGGGCTTATGGCTTGATTCTTGAATGTTACAGTCCAGATAGGTTATCCACATAAAAATACCCCTTCCCTTGGGTTCCACTGCTTCTGTCATCTCAGTGTGGTTTAGAAGGCGATATTCCTACAAACATTCCCCCCCCCCCAACTCACCCAAATGATCTGTTTTTAATGTCAAATTTTGATTCTGAGAAATTAATCTCTAAAAGGAGTGGCCGGGGTGAGAATTCTTTTTTTCTTTATGGTATATGCATAAGTGTGTGCATGTATATCAAAATGCTCGAGAAGGCTATTTTATCTTACAATGTTGAACTTGAATGCCAAATGATGAAAGTAGAAAATCTAGGGGTGCCAAGTTAAGCTATAGAGGAGCATAAGGAAATTATGTTATTAGCTTTACATGTCTCATCCGTAACTTTACTATATAAATGCTTCTGTGAAACATAATTTTCTTGACTTGATAATAGATATTCCAAGAATCCCTTCGGCAGAAGGAAGGACTCCAATTATTCAGTTGCTTCACCTAGTGCAAATGGGGCTCCGCCGGCTCTGACTTACCAGTAGCTGAGGGGATATTCTTTGTTTTCTATCCTCCAACATATACAACTGCTACATGCTAGGATGTATATTGCATGCACCCATTTCATTGTCAACATCAGCATTATCATCGCTTGTCATGTGTTTGAATGCACATAGTGATATCATGAGCGTACCGTTTGCTCATGTTTCTATCAATTTACCTGAAACATGCATGTGTCTGCAGCATTTGTTACGATGGGTTAACTTTATAGGGTGTCGGATAACATTAATATTCTGTTGAAGTAGCACATTATCCACTGGTTTGGCTGATTTGTGTGCTGTACCGCCTCATATTGACCATTGACCATGCCATGATACTGGATTACTGATGCTCAACATCAGGCAGCATACATACAGAATTGATCCATATACATTCATGACTAACATGACATTCAAAGATGCGTAGTTTCAATTCATGGCACTATTTGACTTGAAAAAAAAGAGGTGAAAACCCATACCATTTTTCATTCTATACATGGAATTATTAGAACCATTGACATTGCCATAGGCACCATTAGGGGTCTTCAAAGCATAATATTTATACATATGCCACTGCAGTGTAAACACACGACATCAATAACTTCACATGTGAAGAAAATCTAGATTTTCAAACCATGATCTGAAAAAACATAGGGAAGCATAACCATTGCTCATCTATCATGAGGAAATCTTATAACCCTTTGCCATATCCTCCGACACTGTTTATCCTATTGAAGTGAAAGGATGATGACCATCTTTTTAACTTAGAAGATGTAAGCGGCTATGACATATATGTATGCTTGTGTGTGCATATACATGCAGGATAAGTTGCTCTGCTTGAGGTAAACAGTGCTTCAGTTGATGTTTGTGTTTCAGGTAGTCAAAAGCGAAAACATGCCCTAGTGGATGTTTAGCTGACGGCTCTTAGGTGCTGGTTGCTTTATTTATTTATTTATTTATTTTCGGGCAAAAAGGAATAAATGCTTGTTGGCGACATCTCTAACTACATCTTTTCTGCCCTCTATTTCTGCTCTCTTAGTTTTTATGCAGAAAGTGTAACTTCGTGCAGTGTGGAAAGACACGAAAAATGGTAACAAATATGGTTAATTTTTCAGCGGAGTTCATTTTCCTAGCAAAATAGCTTCTTGTAGGGTTATTTGACTGGCTATTTTGAGTGTGGGTCATCTTTGCAAAGTTATAGTAAATGATTACGCGTTGCATTGTATTGAATTGGATACAATCTCTCATATAATACGATTTGGCTATCGATTCAGCAATTTCCTTCCTCCTTGATCCTTGAGGAAGAGGTTAATGCAAACACGTCACTTGATTACCAACCATGTATCTGGCCAATGTGACTTTCTGGTTTCACTTCGACTTATCAATTCTGAATTGAACCGAGCCCAAAAATATGATTCGATTTACTTTGATCCAATATTAATCTAATTTGATTGGATCATGAAAAAGGTCAATGACTAGTCCAATCTTGAGTTCAAATGGACTCGAGTCAGAAACAATCTAAAAGCCTATATAATCGTGGACGAAGTTAGAATCTTAGGATTCGTTTGGTTTGATAGAACATTTTCTATTTTTGTTTTCTGTTTTAAATTTTATAAAATAATTTTTATTTTTAATTTTAATTTTATGAAGATTATGAAATGAAAACTTGATTTTAAAAATAAAAATAGTGAAAACATATTTGGTATCTAATTTTTTAAAAATAGATATAAACAAATAACTATTAAATAATTAAATTAAAATATAACTATTAGAAAATTTTACTACATAAACTAACATGTGAGTTATGTAAATATAAGACAATAAAGTTTATAAGAAATTTTATAACACAAAAAATATTTTAGTTTATAAGAAGAATATTGGAGATTTAAATTGCGGCTAAGAACACATTTTTGGTTGTGTTGCATTTATCGCAATATTGCAAGTGTTATTTCAACCATTGCGGGTATTATGGTTGTGAAAGAAAGGTTTCAAACAATATCTTTATCTCTATGCAATGATCGCTATTCAGATAGCGGACGGTTATTTAAATCCCTAAATAATATAATGTTAATAAATATTGGGCATCAATTAAATTTAAAATATATACAAAAATATTGTTGCGACCACACAAAAGTTTCATTAAAATAACAAATTATGTTTAGTGGTATTTGAGGCCCTCAAACTTTTGAAAAATATTAATGTAGCCCCTGAACTTCTTTTGCACTCAATGTGTCTCTTAAACTGAGAAAAATCAATCTAATCCTTTGACCAACGAAATCAAAGTTGATTGTCACGACGCTTACATGACAGTTAACGAAACTTACAAGGCAATCTATAATGTTGATGTGATAATTCATTATACTAATGTGACAATTCAAGTTATTATTGTGGGAGTACATGATAGACATTATGTGGTAGATGATCTTAATTGATTTTTGGCTAAGTTTGAGCGCTTGTTTGTTTCATTTTTTTTATAGAAAATTTGAGGACTTATTTAAGTTTTTAGAAAAAAGAAATTATTTTAATTTAAAATATAAATATAAAATATAAAAAAATATTAATATATTCAGTACATTAAATATAAAAATAATATAAAATTAAATTATTAAAAAAATCAATTTAAGGATCACATTGAGTGTACAAAAAGTTTAGGGACCACAATGATTTTCTTGTAAAAGTTTGAGGGTTTCAAAAGTATAATTAACACTAGAAAATATGAAATAAAATTAAAATTTAAAGGTTTAAATACATTTATGCTCTATATTTTTAATTATAAAAAATTTTAGGGGTAGTTAGCCTGGAGGATGAAGCATAGCTTCACCTCTGTCTATAGTGATTTGAACTTGGACAATTAATTATGAATGACTTGAAATAATTCGAATTCCTAAAGATTTACTTTAGTAGTTAGGTTTCAAATTTGAGTGGTTTGATGAAAAATGATATGAACTTAGAGCGGGTTTATATTAAATTATCTTTTATTCATTAATTTGCTCGGGAAATTATTTGATTTTTTTGTATAAATATTAATATTTGAGAGAGAGATCTTCAAAGAACAAGGCTCTTTTTCAATAAACCAAGTTATTTGGGATGATGCGGACCCACTCTTTTTCCTATTCAAATACCAACCCTTTGTCTGTGTGTTTTCGCACCAAAAATTCTTTGGAGATGAGGAGATGTTAAAGTGGCTTCTTACTTTCCAAATAAATTCTCTTACATCTATATATAAGCGTCGGTTTGACGAGAATACACGAGAAAAATAGTTTGAATTATTAATTTACTTCCCAAATATATTCTCTTACATCTATATATAAGCGTTGGTTTATCGAGGATGCGCAAGAAAAACACTTCAAATTATTGATTTATCGTCAAAGATGGCTTAGAACTAAATGTCATTTAAATTAAGTATTGTAGAGATTTATTTATAGAGTGATATTTTTAATTTAGTTTGTTTTCTCATATTTTAAATATTATTTAAGGGGTTTAGTGTGTCATTATATTAAATTAATTTATGGTCTGTAAAAATTATTTACCTCAATGACATACACAATTCTTCTTGTGGCATTTATTTTTTAAAATTTTCGAAACTTTGGTGGTTCAATCTTAGTAGGGATAGAGAACCCTTTGATGTCTTGACTTTGCTATCGAAGGCCTTGGAGTGGTTGGAATAGGCGAGCACACGTGATGATGTGGTTTGTATACGTAAGATTCATGTTTTCATCTTTTATGGGTTAAACCCTCAATTTTCATGGGTTGATCATTAATCACGTGTTTATTGTTTTAACGGAATGTGTTAATTAGAGGAAATTATTTATTCAAGCATACTCAAACTCACAATGAAAAAAATCCCATAGCAAGATCATATATAGGCTAGAGGAGACCTTTCGTTTTCTTTTAACCCACAACATGCATTTTGTAACAGTAGCCAGGCATGCATGCATGATCCATGCAAGGCCCTAACTAGAAGACACACTTGCGTACATAGCTACTGGCTGTCAAATTTATTATACTACTAGTAATGTGATGCACCAAGGGATCACATGACAGCCTCAGTCTGCTGAGCAACCTCTCATTTAGCCATCTTAAACGAACTGGCAGGCTTGATGTATGCTGTCATCTTGGGTGAATTACCGTCAGCATCAATTTTAACATCCCCTATGTATTCAAGCTTTTCAGTATGATAATCAGCTTTCCCTTCTTTATCAAGCTTGTCTTTCACTTCACTCCAGGTAACAGGTTGGTCCGTGATCTCAGTATAAACACTTCAATTTCTACCTCAACTTCCACGAAATTCTTTGCATTACAACAATACTGCCCTCTAAGCATGCTCCTAACAACAAGGATGAAGCACTCCTTAATCTCGAGTCCTTAAGAAGCAAAGCAAGAAACTCCTTGCCATCCGTCTCAACTTTCACCATTCTTATTCTCAAATCTGAAGCAACTCGTAACCCCTCTAAAATTTCTCATAGCTCGGCATCAATAATCGAGAAGCACCCAATATATTTCGAAAAACCTGACACCCATTTTCCTCAGTGATCTCTAAACTCCATCCGTTTAGACCTGTCAGTGTTTTGCTTAAACCACCCAACTGGTCCCAATAAGAATTTCTATCTACACGAGGATGATATATATTGCTTTACCACCCTCCCTTGAAGTCATAGTTCGTCCAGCTACAATGAACAGACGTGCACTCTCATGAACAACACTCTCGAAAGGAGAGAAATCTGGATAAAAAATTAAACTATATATTTGCTTTCACAAACACCGAATCACACTCCCAAACGATAAATCCCATTCGATATCCACAACTGGGAAATGATTCAAATCATTTATTTTCTTTTCGATCCACGACAGCATGTCAAGTTGCATGAACTCCTCCAGAAAATTTGGCTTAACCAGGCTCCTCTATGTCATACGAGCTTCCACAAATTCCCAAAAAATGTGTATTAGACTCAATAACATCACAGATTGAACAACCAGGATCCAATGTCATGTGACGCCGCACACGTTCCTCATTCGACAACAGTTTATCCTTGAAAATGAGCCATAATAGAGACTTAACTCTTGGTAACCCACGGTACTTCGATCATAACCCCTAAATGGGTCAATCAATTTGAGCAGAGGTGGTGGTCCGACAGAGGTACGTGCTCCTCAGTGAACCTTCTATTCTTATCTCATTTCCATCCTGATATATCCGATCCTCCATTAGATAGTGGTGGCTTAACAGTTGTGATACTAAGAAGAGTCAAAGGTGGTATGTTTGCAGCAGATTCCATTTCCACTCACCGCTTGAACTAACCATAGCGTTAACTTTTACATCTTCATCCAACGAGAAATCATGATTCAATCGAAAATCCTGT